TTTGTTTTGTTTTTGTGACTGTGTGGAACCCAGTTCAGCTACTGATTGATTGATTGCGTGTGTGACTGAAGTACATTGTTTATTGCTTTCATTTTATGGATCAATGGTCTTGTTAGATAGTAAAATTCATGTTAAATTGCTGTTTTAGGGGTTGTTCTTAAAAGTCTGGAATGGATTAATCCATTTTGCATTACTTTCTATGGGAAAGCGCACCTTGGTTTTGGAACGCTTTGGTTTTGGAACGGACTTCCGGAATGGATTAAGTTTGAGAACCAAGGTACCACTGTACTATCAAATATGCAGATGAATATCAGAACAGAACAGCCAATCAGAGCACATGCTACCTCAGCAAAGATTATGCCATTCTGTCTAGCTGCTAAACAACACTCCGCAACCTTCCCCCTCTTGGCTGGTTGACTCTACATATTAACAGAATTAACTCATAAGTTACAAACTGAATGATCCCTGCTGTTGTTCTTCCAACAGTCACCACATCTGCTGAAGTTTCTTCTTCTACACAACAGTTCAAGATGCAAGAGTCTTGTCTTCTCTTGCATCTGGCCCCCCCAATTCCACCACAACCAACAACTTTATCTTTCCACTTGCGACTCACCTCACCTCAAATAACTTGAGACATTCAGAGCAGGTCCTCCAAAGGTAACCTGAGCATAGAGTTCATGTAAGAATTGGACAGGTCCCAAGCCATTCGAGGCTTTAAAGATAACCACCAGCAGTTTGGATTGTGCTCAGAAATGATCTAGCTTTGAGCCAGTACAATTGTTTAAGCTCAGGCCAGCTCTGTCCCATTGCCCAGCCCCAACTAGCTTCTGAAAATCCTTAAGCACAGCTGCAGTCTGGGATATCACAGGCACGGAGAAAGGAGATGAGGCTAAGAAATCAGTGACTTGCCAAAGGCATAGCAAAGGCAAGATAAGATATAAGAAGAGTCCTGCTGGAACATACCCATAGCCTATGCCCCCAAGGGACGCAGGTGGCGCTGTGGGTTAAACCACAGAGCCTAGGACTTGCCGATCAGAAGGTTGGCGGTTCGAATCCCCGTGATGGGGTGAGCTCCTGTTGCTCGGTCCCCTGCTCCTGCCAACCTAGCAGTTCGAAAGCACGTCAAAGTGCAAGTAGATAAATAGGTACCGCTCCGGCGGGAAGGTAAACGGCGTTTCCGTGCGCAGCTCTGGTTCGCCAGGAGCAGCTTAGTCATTCTGGCCACATGACCCAGAAGCTGTACGCCGGCTCCCACGGCCAATAAAGCGAGATGAGCGCTGCAACCCCACAGTCAGTCACGACTGGACCTAATGGTCAGGGGTCCCTTTACCTTTACCTTATGCCCCCAAGGAGGACAGGAGGGCAATTGTCCTCTCCTGCTGCTGTTCACTAGCGAGTGGATTTCAGAGGTATTTCAGAGTTCCATGGGAAGAGGAAAGGACTAGTGAACCATTCTTGGAACTGTAACTCTGTGAGAGGAATAGGGGTCTGCTAACAACTCACAGTACCAGGATTCTTTGGTGAGACATGTGACATAAGATAATAAGAAGAGCCTGCTGGATCAGGCCAATGGCCCATCCAGTCAAGAATCCTGTTCTCACAGTGGCCAATCAGATGCCCGTGGGAAACCAGGATCAGAGCACAAGAGCACTCTCTCCTCCTGCGGTTTCCAGCAACTGGCATTCAGAAGCATCCAGTGTTGTAGCAGTTGCCCCAGCTGCAAAATTGTTAGGGGTGTAAAATGCCTCAATACAGCTGCATGCTTCTGTCAATGGTCTCCACTTAAAAAGGCTTCTTCATGTGAACCAGGAAGTGACCTCTCCAGACGACAGTATGACTCCTTCTTTTCTTATCTCTGCGGCTGCGATCTCCTGGGTGATGCAGATGCCTTAGGCAGTTGAATGTGCATGCATACTCCATCTGTTTCCCTCCCTCCCCCTCTGTGAGGCCCCGGGTGCTGGCAACCCATGCTACACCACTAGAAGCATCGCTGCCTCCACTTGTGGTGGCAGAGTGTAGCCATCATGATACTACTTTAAAAATATCATGCAGGTGGAGCCTCACTCAACTCAGTCTATTAAAATTCACACCCCAGCATTCTCTCTCTCTCTCTCTCTCTCTGTCTGTCTCTCTCTCTGTCTCCTTGCCTGACTACATCTAAGTACCTTTGTTTATGTACTCCACCAGGCAGATATTTTTGATGGGGCAACAACACAAGCAGTTTATAATGTAGCCCCTGGTTTGAGGCTTAATTTTTATCAAGTCCTATTTGGCCTTTAGAACACTCACACAGGACCTCTGTGGCATCGAGCGCACTCCACACTTCTGCCTTGTTTGAACAGCATGAAGGCATCCAGTCCTCCAAGTAACAGGCAAGGCAGCTCGGATGAACAATGCTGAGAAATGGCAGCTTAATACCACAACACAGTGTTAAGGATTCGAAGCAATCTGTCACACCCAGCCAAGGATAGGGCGGGCTTGAGCAGCGCCAGCGCATTAGGAGTTTTGCAGTGCCAGTGGCAAAAGACACTCTCTCGGATGATTAAGGATTGGTATCTCTGAAGCACAAGGGAAGATATCATCTGATGAAGAGCTAATAACAGGGAGCCTGGTGATTATCTGACAAAGTCTCAAGATATTAGAAGAGATTATTTGGGGGGGGATGGAGTGGGGGGTGAGGGAGGTTTTTTTTTCTACAGAAGGAGAAAAAGTCAGTGATGCTAAGGAGGAAGCTCTGAGGTGTTCATTATGCATTTTATTTCCATATCTTTCTCCCCTTCATTTTCCCCTTCCTGCTGTTCTGAGCTTTATTTGCTGTCCACCTCTGCATATGGCTCTCACCTGTGGCTCCTAGAAGCTGTCAGCATGCAACCGCGGCCACACCTCAGGAATGACTTTGACAGGCCGGTTAAACCAGGTGAGGGTAGCTGATGGGTCTCAAACCCTTGATAAGTTAGGGACCTCCCCTGCATGCAAAGATAGGTTCTGGCAGATGAGACCAATAGTGGGACCAACGATCAATAAGGCTGTCTCTGCATATGCTGTAAAGGGAAATGAGAGGAAGATGGATCTCGCCCACCTGGGAAGGTAGCCCATCTAGGAGCTCTGATCCTTAACCTCTGCTGCCTTTTGGGACATCTTCAGGAGAAGACAAGGAGTAAACCCTACACAAATCAGGAGTGGAGTTCCTAAGATGGTTGGGTGGTGCCTTGTATGCTTCCTTCCAGCAACTCCTGCTCGCAAGCTGGTGTCAAGCATATTGCTCAGCTTTTCTTTGGACCGTATCAATGATGCCAAGAAGGAGGTCTTGTCGTCTGGGCAGCCCAGGACCTCCATACACACTGCCCCTGGTCTGTGCCCTGTGTGTGTCACTTCAGTGCTGACACCCCCAAAGGCACGGTCCATTGTCTCCCGAGACAGATGGATGCCAACCAACAGTCAACAGAACCGGGGTGGGCAACCTCTGGCTTGAATAGGG